AAAGCTAAACAGCAGTGTTCTCCCTGCATTCTGTGTGAAGTTCTACAGGATGTCAGAATGATGGGCATTACACAGCAGAAGAAAGGGGAAAAGAAACCCACACTAATACTGGAAAATATGTAAAGTAAGAGTTATCATTTGAAAGATGAATAACGTGAAAGCACAAATGAACCCATGATTACAGAAAGGCTTACTTTCCTGGAACAAGTCTTGACTTCTTTAAAAGAGTTCTTTAAACAAAGACTCAGATTACTCTGCTCTCATCTGCCTGTCTTACTATCGGTTGCATTTTTAAGTCTGCTGCACCAAGTGAACTGCTGGTCTATTGCTACTCCCCCTAAAATTCTGCTGTTTGCCATATTTCCTAGGAAGAACTAACAAATGTAGCTGTGAGGACTCACAGCAGGTAACAGAAGACAAGGAGAATTATTAGAACAGCAAGAGGGCACTCCAGCTAAGAAATACAAAGGGGTAATGCCCAAGAATCCCTTCTCCCAGAACTGAAGTGGGGTGGCTGTCTCCTAGTAAAAAGCTCTGTTATATTCACATCTAACAGCCACCATCCATTTCCAATAAATGCACGTAAACCTGTAGTGGCACATAAGCTACTGGAGTATTAAGCACCTCAAAAGTTTCTTTCTTCAGTGTTTTTAGGAAGCTGTTCACACCTCCGAGCTCTTTCAGACAGCCTACAAACCCATTAAAGAACGGTCCTGCCTTTAGCAGCACTTCAGACTCACTGCTGTTGCAGATAGAGAAATACCAGGGTCATCTTAGGTAAAAAGCATAAATTATTGTTCCCTGTGGGTCTAATAGCCTCCACTGGTGACATCCTGACATGTGCAAGGGTGTGCCTCTGTGCCAAGTGACACAAAGTAATATAGAATATTCCTCTTTCTGTTTGCCTTTTGAAAGCCTTTATAATATGGATACATTACCTGAGTTTTTCAAAACTCTCATGGAAGCATGAGCTACATAATATCAGACAAACACATCCAGACAGGATTGAATGAGGGCATATTAGACTTGATAACCCAGACTTTCCCTAAATAAATAAAATCCCAAGTTTAGTAATATTATAAGTTGTATTCTAAAAGAAGTGTCCCATTAAAAAAAAATAAGCCTTAACTACAATGAATTCCATCAGCATTTCTCAGCCACGAGGCTAAACAATGCAATATTTTTCAGTTACTCTAACAGAAGAAAGTCAGCTGTATTCTAAGTATTAAAGTGGTTTTTTGTTGTATGATATGGAACTACAGAGTAACACCAAGTAGACTTTTACCTTGCTTTTCAGGGTTTTATTTTCTTCCAGCACAGCTTCATATTTTTCTTTCATCTCTGCCAGTTCCAAGCGAAGTGCCTCTAATTCTGGATTCTCAGGAGCTGAAGCTCCCAGATGATGCTTCAGAAAGCTGATATTTAGATGTTAAGTATTTCTTCAGTTATACAGTATAACCACATTTTAGTTTTAACGCTTACGTTGAAGTTAGCACTGCAGTACACATGACCAAAATCACAGTACACCACTGAGATTACTACAGTGCTTTTCATCCTATAGAAGGAAGTTAAAAAAATAAGAGAGGTTTTTAAACTCATAGCTATATTCCTTAAAAAAAACAAACACAACCAAAAACAAGACATCAGTACAAGTTCTTCTTATTAAAAAAAAACCAAATCAAACAAAAAAGGAAATGTGAAGAAGCAAACTTCAGAAGCCACAGACACTGCAGGTACTCAAATGCTGCAGGTCTACAACTCTGTAATGGCCTATAACTTAGCTTTTTAATTGTTGGCATACTGATAGCCCAGTTCTCTTGCATCCTGTCAGACTCTCCCTTAGCTTGTAAGAAGGCAATTATTAGCCAAAATGCATCGATAAAAGCCATGTTCTCAAGGCAAGGCTTCTAAATGAGCCTCTCCAGTTCACCTTTGAGTCAGAAGCAGTACTGCTATTCCACATAAGGTCTCTACAAACAAGACACAGCAGAGAAAAAGGATACTCCAGTGCACTATTTGGTTTCTCTGGCTCTTCATATAAGGCTACCAACACTGCAAATGGAAAATATTCATCAATTGCAAGAAGTTCATGCAACTCTTAAGTTTTTGAAACGCATACCAACAGTCAGAAAGCATAACACATTTATAGCACATTTTTCCATTTAACATGATTTTCACCTGTATACTCTGACATAAACAACAGGTCTGCTGTACAGGAGTAGACAGAGCATTCCACCTAGTAACAGCTAAATATAAGTTTTCTTCATCCCTAACCCAAGTCTTTGGCTAGTCTAGCACAGAAGACAAAATGGCCTGGACAATTTTTACACATTCCACATGCAACACTAGTATTAGCTTTCATCAGCAAGACTGAAATTCTAACTATTTTGAGATTCTCTTCATGTATCATTATTTCCACTTCTTTGAACCACAGGACATCAGCAGTTCTGTAACTTTCAGCATAAAAGCAAACCTCCATCAAACATCTACAGTTACAAAACTAAATGGCTACTGTCAGAGTAGGTGACACTGATAATCTTTATGGATGGAGCCCCTAAGGGCCACAGAAGTCAGACACGAGCAGCAATACCCTGTCAGCTTAAATAAAAGTAGCCATATACATGGAGAACTCAGTCACACAAATACTCAGAAAGTTCCCAAACATAACCATTCCCCACTCCCTACAGGGGCAATGTGCCAGTTCCAGATATTCAAACTACACAGTCAAACTGGTTTTAAGCTACGCACCTCCCAAGTTAAAAACAAAATTAGGATGCCTCAGTGCTTGGAAGGCTTGTTTTGCCATTGCATTATTTTGCCATTGCATTGGATGGTATTGCAATAGAAAAATCAAATGGTACTCACACACCAGGCCAAGAGTCTTAATGCAGCACCTATTCGCTCGACATCCTAGATCTGCTGCTCCCTCTTTATACAGCATATTTTCAATCAGAAATGGAAACAGATTTTTGCCACGTACTATTGGAAGGTTCTCAAAAAGACTTCAAAAGAATTTCAAAGATGCCAAGTCATATGTGTCAAGTTTAGCATCATCATTTTCCCCATTTTGATACAGATAGTCACTCTCCAAAACATAACTTTCATTCATTTTAGAAAAAGCACTAAGCTCTACTCAAGAAAGGGTCTTAAAGAATTAAAGTGGGGTTTAAAATAACGCTTGCTGTTATACCGTCTCAAGCATTTACTTTCTCTGTAGAGCTCTGGCAGAATAACAGCCCCCAAGAAATTAACCAAAAGCACGCATTGAAAGAAGCACTTTGGCCGAGAATAAGAGAGGTCTCCGACACACCCGTGCGGAGAGAGGAACAGCCTTGTGTCCCACACGCACCTCTAACAATCGACCCCCACAGGAATTAACGCTTTGTAACTCCCAGGGCGCGTTTCCAGAGGCCCGCGGCCCTCCTCCGCCTCCCGGACTCCATTTCCAGGCCACGTCGCACCAAGATTTTCCAGGAGAGTTCTGCTGCCGCCCCCTCGCCGACTGAGGGGAAGAGGCGGACGACGAGGCGGGAGCCGGCGGGGCCACCCGACGGGCCGCCACAACACGGCCGGGCCGGGCCGGCAGAGCCGAAAGAGCTGCCCGCTGGCCCCTCACGGGCAGGAGACTTACCCTTGGTGAGCACGTCCAGCACCCCCGACTTCTCCAAGTACTGGCGGAACTGCTCCCGCTTGGAGTCCGCGGCCTGAGAGAGGACGCCCACACGGTCAGATCGGCGGCGCGCCCCGCCTCGGCTGCCGAGGCGGCTCGTTGGCCCGGGCCGGCCCCGCTTTCCGCCGCGGAAGCGGCACGAAGGGCCGAGCCGGTGTCGGTCCCGCCGCTCCGAGCGGGAAGCGGGGCAACACCGCACCCACGCCGGCACTGCCTCCTACCTTGTAGTGCGCCATCTACCCCGCACCGCACCCACCCCACCTCGCGCCTGCGCCCTGCGCTTTAAAGCGCCAGCGCTTCCCCGCCGTTACCGGAGCGACGGAGCGGCGGCACCGCCCTCGGGCCTCGCCCCTAGCCCGGCTGTGAGGGCTCTGAAAGCACTGTCTCTCCGAGCGGCGGGGCGTGCCGCGGCTTTCGGCCGGAACGCTGAGCTGTCCTGCCGGGGCTCGAGGGGTAATTGCAGCGCGCTGAAATCACAGGATCACGGAGAATTTTGAGTTTGAAAGGACCTACAAGGATCATGGATTTCAACTGTCGGCCCTTCACAGGAGCATCCCCAAGAGTCACACCATGTGCCTGAGAGTACCATGTAAACACTCCTTGAGCTCTGGCAGCCTTGGTGCCATGAGCACTGCCCTGGGGAGCCAGTGCCCAGGCACCCTCTGGGGAAAGAATCTTTTCCTGACATCCAACCTAACCCTACCCTGACACAACTTCAGGCCATTCCCTGGGGTCCTGTCCCTGGTCCCCAGAGAGCAGAGATCGGTGTCTGCCCCTCCTCTTCCTCACACAAGGAAGTTGTAACTGCAATGAAGTCACCCCTCAGTCTCCTCCAAGGTGAACAGACCAAGTGCCCTCAGCTGCTCCTCACACGGCTTCCCCTCAAGGCCCTTAACCATCTTTGTTGCCCTCCTTTGGACACTCGCTAATGGCTTAATATCTTTCTTGTATTGCAGTGGCCAAAACTGCCACAATATTGAAGGTGAAGCCTCCTCAGGGCAGAGCAGAGCGGGACAATCACAGGAGGGGGAAGTTGCAGCAAGCAGCAACTGCATAGCTGTCCACTCGAGGGGCTCCAAAGAGTGATATGTGGTGAAATCTTTGCATCATAAGGAAAGTAATTTGCCTTAGCCTGTTTAAAAAAAACACAGAAGTAGTTATACCTGTTTATTTTTGTGAAAGTCTCTGGTATCTACTGACAGATAAAATCTGTTTATTATAGAAGTTAAAAAAAAAAAGAAATAACCAAATGATCCTGCACCTGTGATGTTAGGGTCCTTTCATACTTCTACTCTGTGCTCTTCTGCAACGTCTTCAGTTTTCACTGGAATTAAGTTACACTTTTCTGTTGGCAAGGTGCTGTGATGAAATGAAATATTTGACCCTTGTCAGAAAAAAAAAGTTAATAAAATTCTGCTCTCAGCAGCAGAAAAACAAATTCTTTTGTAACTCATCTTGAACAACAGAAATGCAAATGTCATATCCCATATGTAAGCATCTAAATGCTAACTTGTTATTATTTGGCAGTGGGACTGGAGTGCATTAAATACTAGGCTTTTTATTACAGAGACATTAAATGCAAAACAAACATTAGCAGTTATCACTCGCAGAATCTTATGCATCAAGAAATGCAAGAGTTAAAGCCACAGTAGCAGTATTAACTGGCCTAAATCAGGCTATACATTTATATGCATTTCAGTATATTACACAATGTTAAATTTTACAGTGTAAACAGAATTATGTATATCTGTATTTATGTACACACACAGAACGATATGAGGTGAAAAGGATACCTGCTGAGAGAAATTTACAGTGAATAGTTGTAATAGTACTAATGTGTGTTTCGTACATGGACGGGGCCAAAAGAGCTTTTTAGGTTTTCAGGCTTCTTTTTTTCTAGTATTGTACAGCTTTTCAGCCACTCTGAAGCATGGCTGTCTGGTAAGCACAATAACAATGCACCTTAAAGGATTTAATTATGCTGTAACATCATGATGATACATCTCATAAAATATTTTTCCAGTACATGTACAGTAAATCCCATCCACTAGTAAAAAAACCATGTGTATACACTATTGCATCTCAGCTGTGACCACCTCATCAAGTATTTACAGCCTGTCAGTGCTGTGCGACTCAAGTAAATGTATTTCATACATAGAAAGCTCTATTACAAATGTAACATAGTATTTTGTTCATCTTTGCCTCCTTTACTATTTCAGGATATTTCTTGGAACTTCCATTATACTGTATGGACCAGAGCAGCAAGTGAATGAATATCCTTAATGTCTTACTACCCCCATAAGAAGCATAAACAAAAATGCTCCTTCTAAACAAGTATAAGCTTTGTTTGATTTAAAAGTTTGTCAGAATTTGAGGGAAAGACAACAGAAAGGGAGTAGTTTTACAATTTGATAAACCTTTTATATATCTTTTGACATTGTAACTGAAGGCAGGAATGTACTACTGTATTTACTTTTTTTTTCCTCTCTCTCTTTTTTTTTTTTCTATTTTCCATAGTAAGCCTTCTGGTTTGTGAAATTCAGAATTTCTGATTAATAAATTTCAGTAACTTGTTTTCTGATTTAAAAAAAAAAATGCTATCTTTTTAGTGTTATGCAAAATGTCAAAATTAAAGCTCACAGCTTGTTTGCAATTCATGATGCTTTAAAAATGTAATAGTGTATTGAACTCTAATAGTAAAAGAAATTCACTTTGATTTTTCTGCTGAGGAAGTCAGTGGTGATACACTGAAAAAGAAAGTGTACCACGGAGTCAAAGAATTAGTGATCAGTATATCAAATGTTTTGTTCTTTTTGTATTTAACACAGTTTGAAGAGTGGGATATGTTTGACATTCTGCTTTCAGACAGCTATGAAAAGTCTGAATTCTCAGAGTAAGTGGAAACATGTTTACCAAAAAGTTTTTCTGAGAGCGCCAGTGCCACCTTTAGCCTAATTTCATTTACTGGTCTTTGTAAAAGATATTGTTAGATTCTAAATTTTTTCTCCTACTTTTATTCAGTTTAAATAGTATTATCAGCTGTGATTTTATGCCAGACTTCTCCTAATATGTGGACTTAGAGGGAGTATGTTTTCCTTTTTAGCTGGAAGGAGTGTAGAAGTTTATACACTGAGGTCTATGCCACATTTTCATTACAAAGGAAGTAAAGGGACTGTTTAAAAGTTACTTAGCTACTATTCAAAGGGTTACACAACTTTTCTATCTATGTGAAAAAGCTGGTTAAAGTTGAATGATTTAGCTACTCTTACACACAGGTCTTGCTTATGTCTCCTTGTTCATTAATTATTCCAGCATTGATGGCTTAACTCCCACTATATTTGAAGATCAGTAGGGGCACGCCTGCTGCTGGCATTACTTGACAGTGACAGTTGCCTGGACAGAGAGTAAAGCTTAGGACTATTCCAGTTTCTACTTTGTGTAGATTCTGAGCTCACCTCCTCTGTAGAGTCAGGAGTGTCTGGTCGGCTAAAATTTTTTACGTCAGTATTGTAAGGAGTTTGGGCGTTGTTTGCGCTGAAACTGCTTTGTCTTCTGTTGCTGTTTTTTGGAAGAGAATTTGTCAAAGCTCCTGCGCTCTCAACCGTTGCTGAGCAGTTCCAAGACGAACCAATTCCGTGCTGTTGCCTAAAACTGGTACAAGGAAAAGTTGTATTGGGTTGCAGTGAAGTTTGAGATGGCATGTCAGTAAAGCTTCTCAAACACATGTTTGAAGCCATATCTGCATTCTGAGTAACAACAAGGAAATGTTTCTTTTCATCCTCTTTTTGTGCATCATGCGCTTCAGTCCCAAGCTCGCCAAGAAAACCCTCATTATTATTCATGCTGTTATTTTGAGTCTGATTGTCTAAGGCATTTGTAGTTGGCCTCTTCTTTGGCAATTTATTCTCCTGATTGCAATGGGTGTAATTACTGCTGCTTTCTGTATGATTATTTTGCACAGACTGAAACAGAGAAGGAGAAATTAGAACCGGGTAGACGGTAGTGTCGGTTTGCTTTTCCATTAAAAAGGTATAACTGCTAAGTGCACAAGGAAGAGTTTTCTGAGGGGTGGTGGGTATTCCGAAAGAAGATTGCGGTATCACAGAGTATTTCTTAGACGTGTTTATGTGGAAATTGTCAGAGTCATCCTTGTTTTTATTCTGCTCACAGAGTCCTATTTTAATTTTTCGGAATCCTAAGTGGATAATTTCCAGGATATTTAAAAGCAATGATACAGTCGCTATTGACTGCATGAATAATATAAAGACTGTCTTTTCTGTTGGTCTAGATACAAAGCAGTCAACTGTGTTTGGACATGGATCTCTCTGACATTTATAAAGGGGATCTAGATGAAAGCCATAAAGAAGATACTGCCCAATCATAAAACCGACTTCCACTGCAGACCGTGTGAAAATATGTATCACGTAAGTGCAGAGCAAAGAGCCTCTCAGGGGTGCTTTATTTAGCTTTCTTTGATCCAATTGCCGGAGTTCTCTCTCCAGCCTTTTACGATCTTCAGTCATTTCTAATTTGGTGCTTTCAAGTTCCACCTTTACCTGAGCTTTCTTTTTTTGCCTCTCTTTTTCCAAGACTCTTAGTCTGTATAAGGCATGACCCATATACACCAAGGAAGGAGAAGACACAAATATAACTTGCAAGACCCAGTATCTTATGAGAGAGATGGGAAAGGCCTCATCATAGCACACATTTCTGCAACCAGGTTGCTCGGTATTGCATATAAATTCTGATTGCTCATCATTCCAAACATCCTCGGTTGCCACTCCAAGGACAAGCATTCGAAATATGAAGAGGATCGTTAGCCAAATCTTTCCAATAATAGTAGAATGGATGTGGACCTCCTCTAAAATGCCTCCGAGGAAATTCCAGTCTCCCATGGTTATTCTGCCATCTTAACACTAAAATGTATGAGAGAAAAAAAAGTATAAAACATTATAAAATGTGCATTCCTTCCTTAATGCATTACAAAAAAAAGTAACACTGGGCAAAACTATCGTAGCTTACACGGTAACCATAGCAACATGAACAACTGCTCACTGATAATCTGGGTATTATTTTCTCTCATCTACAAGATGGAGAACTGCATCATCTGCCCGTGTCTACTTTATCTTTAAAAGATATCCTGATAAGCATATCTCTATGAGGTATTAAGCACCCTCAGACTGCATCAGATCAGTGGAAACTAAGGTACCTCGACTTGTGGCAGGATTTTAAGAGCATTAGTGATCCATTTGAACCATCATATGATAAAAATGTAAGAGCAGTATGTTATACTTAGGACACTTATGAAGTGTCCTAAGTGTCCTTGGAACATCTTTTTCAGATGTTCCAAGTCCCACATCACAGCTGAAGTTATGGTAATGTCTAATTACTGTTTCACAGTGGAAACTGGTTATACAAAGGAACTCCAGAGGGAATAAAGCATCTCACTAAAATTTCTTCGTTAATTTAAAAAATATATTTAAGCATATAATTTTGTGCAGACAGACATTTGCTCTTTGTTTGCGGATGTCGATGATAAATAAATAGAATTACCATAATCGGTCTTGTTTCCTCTGATCTATGACACCTGCATTTAAAATAGTGAATAAGGGCCTAAGTGTCAAGAGTTACTATTTTTGGCTACAATTCTTTGAAAAAGAAATGATTTATACAAAAATTCTTTACCAGCATTATGTCTGGGGATAAGCAGTACATCTGTAGATTTACCTTTTCATTCTATGTACAGCACAATTCAATAGATTTCAGTTATACTGAAAAGGAGAATAGTATCTTTTTTTCAGTATTTTTTAGGAAAAAGGTGGTTTAACATAGCTTTTCCTGTTCAAATGGGATTAATTTTCACCCTGTAAAATAAGTGTTAAGAAATGAGAAGGAAGTTGGAGTCTTACGGTTGCAGTACTGATGACTATAGAGGGAACTTCATGTAAAGGCAGCCTTCTAAACATGAAAATACTCTTGCAAATCAGTATACAAATAGGCAAGTTAGACATTTTTTAAAGAGAAGAAAATTAAAAATAAAATTAAAAATAAAACGTACCTTTCTTTACAAAAATGTGTAAAACTAAACATCTGCGACGTCCAATAAAAAGTTACAACCACTGCCATCTTCCATCCATCTGAGTAAATTGTTCTGGAGGCGGCATTAGCAGTGCAACGGCCAAGGACACAGCCTGCTATTAATGTGTAGCTCCACTGCCAGGACCAATATGAGTGACTTAAGAAGTATATAGGGCTATAATGTTCTTTTAGGTGATTCTCATCAGTGCTCTACAAAAGTGTATTCCTGTTTCAAATGTCCTGCGAAGGGTGAATAAACTTCCTCTGCTGAGCACTCTAAAAAGCTAATCATTATATTTTAATTTTGGTGCTGAGGATCAGTCAATAGGTCATGTCCGATTTCATAGTTAAATGACAGCTTGCCTGGAAGTACTTAATCATTTTGGCAAACTAGCAGTCTACAGCCAGCCATTTCCAGGATTCTAAACATATGTCTCTTCTATGGAGTACTTAAAGTGTGTTTCTAAACATTTTTCTGTTATTGGTAAAAAATCATCTAAGTCTGCTGAAGTGGTCCACTGACACCCCCACACCCTCCCAGCTCCTGCAAGGATGCTGAAGAAGATACGTTTGAAAACCCTGAGTATTCAGTGAGACTGAACTACCGCGGCTGGAGGTTTACTTGTTCTGTAAAAGCTAAATGTTAAGGCGAACATTTAATGGTCTGCACACCATGTTCTGGGATGCGTTGCCTCATTCAAAACGGTATCGCAGTCAAATAACAAGCAGGTTCACTGCAAAACGTCCCCCAAAAGTTTTAATGACCATATTATGTTTTCTTAGTTTAGGGTCAAATGTCACAGTAATCATTAATCATTCAATCATGGAAATATTCTCTGAAGATCAAGGCCTTTTTATTCCTATTCATCAATAATGTCGACTTTGTGTGCACAATTGATTTTTATTTTCTACCGTATTTGTCTGACCCACAATGGCCAGCTAGATAATTAGAGGCACAAACATTGGTGACATGTCCTGTGGGCTTTCAGGGTAACATGGACTCAGTCCCATAGTTTTCTTTCAGTAGTGAAGTAGGATCACAAATAATAAACTGCAATAATGAGAAATCTGGACAACCGTACTACTCAATGTTGTCTTTAAGACCACCAAATTCAGAAGTGCTGTGTTTGAAGGCAGATCAGAGATTACCCTATGAAGACTGAGGCACATACTCTTCACATTCGTCTGTTTTCTGGGCTGACGTTTGATTGCTAAGAAGACACACATGCAAATCAGTAGGTGCACATTTACGTTTTCACTTTCACAAGCAAAATTTCTGAAGATGTCCTGTCATGTATCGGGTTTAAGGTGGTTTGTTTTTTGTTTGGTTTTTTTTAGTTTCTGTCTGCCTTTATCTTAGTTTGATGTTGATATTTTTTAATTCATTTCTCTCTTAGTTCCTTAGCTTCAAAAATTTGAGTTTTCTATCTACTTTTATCTAGTTTGCTGTCTCCTTTCCTCTATTAATCTCTTGGCTTTACGATTTTGCTTACATATATGCACTGCTACTGTAACTTGCTCTTTTTAGTTCTCTCTTGACTATCTTGCTCCTTTTTGCATTTTCAAGTTTCCTTCCATGTCTACTTTGATCAGGCTCACTCTCCCTATTTTTTTCTTACTGTTTGTCTCATTGAGTCTCCACTGCATTCCATCAAGTCACCCTTAGACTGGGGAGTGTGGGGAGACATGCCCCACAAAAGTGGGGAGCAGTAACGCCCCCCCCCAACTCGGGGTCCTGGGGAAACCCCCTCCCCAGAGTGTGTCATCCTCCCCCCAAATAAAGGCACCAGCCTTCATTTGGTCTTGGAGGTCTTCATGGTCTTGATAGATCTCGTGGTCTGCTGGGGTTGGGGGGACAGAGCCCCCCCTCCAAATTGGTCAGAGTCCCCACAAATGGCGCAGAGACCAGCTGAAAAATGATTGGGGGGCTGAGGGGGACCCTGGGGAACCCCCCGGCGTTGTCACCCCCAATCGGTGCCGATGACGTCACATGGGAACAGCCCAGGTACCTTCCTGGGATCCCCCTCCCGCCTCCCACCCAGTTGCCCCCGGCCCCCCCTCGATTGGGTCCAACGGGGCCCCCGAGGCTCCGCCCCCCCCCCCCCCCCCCAGTGTCGCAACAGTGACACTGCTGGCG